TAATACAGCAACTTGCAACTGATCGTAATTAAGAGATTATTATATCGTATCATATATTATTTAAATATTATTATTAAAAAGTAAATTTTATCGTCTATTTTAACTGAATTTCAACCTTCACATTTCTTATTTCTTACATTACATGATTAATCGAAATCAGCCTTTGTTATCACCTCATAAATTGTTAATTTTATTATAAAATCTTTGCACGCGTTGTAATATCAAGTTATTTTAAAGAAAATAACATCTTTAATTTATCTTTGACATTTAGAAATACAAATAAATGTGAAACAAATACATCTTATCTATACGATGCAAAGAACAATTTTTGAGAAATACACTTTTTTCTTGTTATGAATACAAATGCCTTTTTCTTGTAATTTGAAATGACCAACGTTGTGTCAACTATAGAATCTCTTTGCAATATTCTATGGCAATATCTTTTCATACTATCGCGTTCCTGTTGCATAATATCTCTGCAATAAACGCACAAAGGCCAACGAAAAGCCTCTTGTACGGGACCACAACTTATTGAAATTCGCACTATTAAAGAAAAATAACTTTTATTATAATTCCTTTGTAATACTATCTTATTTCTATTTACGCTGGTTCCGGTATGTCCAGTTCAAACGGAGAAAGTTCGATTCGTGTGCACAGCAGTCATTTGTGCGAGAATTAAAATGGTGTCAAGAACGATGATATTACGTTAAAAATATTACATCCTAATTTATCACTTAAAGAAAGGAACAACTTTTAGAGAAGAAGTGTTGCAATAGGAATGGCAAGTGGAAGCTTTATTTTTTGCAAAATTCTAAAATATGTTTTATGTTTGTGAATATAAATTAACAAAAATAAGAAATCAAACAACTTACACCTACAATATTATATACGTAAAATAACAATATATCTGGTATATACTATTTATCGCCTATGATATATGTACTTATTATCGAATCTTCTTTTCTATATCTAGCTACCAGAGAATTTTTCTTTTTAACCATATGTTCATCGTCGCACCTCTTTTCTTATTAGATTATGACAAAGCAACGAAATGCTTCTTTCACGATATATGTGGTTATTCATCGAACCATCTGCGCGATGCAATTTCGCTTAATGTACGCATCAAATTTAACGGTACCTACCCTAGTGGATAAGATCGAATGATGCCGTTAAAATTGTTACAATATGTATCTGCATCATGCGTTTCTTATACTCCTAAGTATATAAGATAATATACAGATAATACGCGTAGCAATGTGACTAATTTGATAAATCTTTCTTTGGTAATGGTTTACCTATAAATTATAGAAAATTGTATTTCACACTGATTTTAAGAAAACTCATAATTTGGCACAGTAATTTATAAAATGTGGAAATGTATATATTTTATACTATAGCGGAAAGATATAAAGGAATATATCGTTAATTATAATTTTGGTTGACCTACATGTACTTCAATTTCCTTTTTACGATATTCCCTCATTTTTATACTAATGTTACTTCTTTCCTATCGTAGATTTAAATGGCATATATTAATGATATTTTTGTATTAGTCCTTGTTATTAATATAGTTTTTTTGTTGTCCTAGAAAAGGGATAACGTTAAAAGACGTCAATATTATTAAGAATTATTGATGAAAATTATTTTATAGATAAATATCATATAGATTTTATGATCAATGTTAAGCCAAAAGATAAGGGTTATAATGATAAATAAAAAAAAAATGCTTCATCCTTTATGACATGATAAGAGACATTTTTTAAATAATTTATGTGATGTCAACTCTGTTGTTTGTCATGAAATGTGAAAATACATAATGTTTGATCTTGAAAAGATATATGGAAACATAGTATTAATTATTATTTTAATTGGCATGAACAGATTAACGTGTGCCTATAATATAGCGTCATATTTAATGTTAACACAATTTTAACTTATGTGCCTAATATTAACGTTATGGCTATAGACAAAGTATAGCTCTACTAATAATATCTTTAAGAAATGAATGTTCGTCATTTCATCATATGATAGGATTCTATTTATAAATAAACTTACTTGTCTAATCAGTGCACTTTGTCTATGCTATAGTCGTCGAGTAAGAAGATCATCTATCAATTAGAATCCAAATTCAATCTATCTGTAACTTATCCGTATCTTCATCTGTTTCTCCGTTTTTTTACAAAGTATTTTTCACTAATACGATAGACCAACGATAGAGCAACTTTTTAAAACGATTAATTTTATTATCATCCGGTCATCTATTTCACATAAAAGGAAAAGACAGTAAAAGAGAAAAATTTCAAATGCAGACTTTGTACGTGGTACAAAACGGTTTTTAAACACGTAGTGAAATCCGGATGCTCGACAGGTTTAAAAAGCGAATAAGAAACGAAACTAAAAGAGTCGTGGAATAAAGAGAACGCGATCTTTTAACTTGTTTCATCTCTGACGATTGCGTGATATATACGGTCTACAATGTAGAGGCAGTGATGCCCGCATCAAATGCGATGCAGCACGCTTTCTGAGCCTCTTCTATTCAAAAAAGTGCATCTCATGGTGCGTTTAAGTTATGCGCCTGCACGGGTCGCTGTAAGATAGTGAACATGCGTGCTAATTACCACGTCAGACGAATTTTTGAGAATTTGTGGCCGGAAGCCATAAAATCTTTCGATTAAATAGCTGGTTTTTATACATTTACATATTTTTATACATAGAAATTCAAGAGTACAGATAGTATGGAAAAATATATTTATATAATATCCATAGTATTCGTAAAAATTATATTTATGACCACAATTAAAGAAACCAAAGTTAAACAGTATCTGTATTATTGGCTGAATATTAATTATAATAGGTATTCCACTTTAGATATTTTATAGATACATTTTTGGATATTATGCGCGTATATTCATTTTTGCACTCTTAAATTTCCCATGAAATCATAAAAATCAGCGGTTTACTTATAATATTTGTTAGATGAAATAATTTTCTATTTATGTTCGATATTTTTAATTATGTTCCTATAAACATAATTAATTCGTAGAAGAATATCTACGATTTACTTTTGGTATTCAAAAAAGATTTTTACTCTTAAAACAGAATGTAACACCTCGAAGGAATTGTAAGCATTTCATTGATAATGGATTGCTTAGGATTAAATTGCTCTTCGGTTTTTTTAAATAGGTTTTGATTAACTTAATTGAATTTAGTTATGATCTTCAATCATTATACGTATAACTCAATGGAAAAAATGGTACGTCAGTAATAAAATCTTCAAGCTATATTTTCATAGAAAAAGTTTTGTATGTTTAAAAATATTTAAACGTTGATGAAATGAGTGTTACTATCGTCATGAGAAACATTTGTATCGCTTCTTTCCTACGTAACTACAAATTTTATCTCATTTAATACACTTACATAGTTGAAAAGATGTATTTGTATTACTTTTCCAATCAGCCTTTCTATTACCAAAAATTGTATTAAAAAGATAGATCAAGTTACGAAACGGTAGCGGAAAAAATAAGAAGAGCAATAATCTTTACATTAAATTCTATTTTAATTCATTGTTCGATTTTTCTCAATAAAAATCTGCTGAAAAATTAATTTCCTTTCGGCAAAGTGAAATCGCTCAATGGTTTTTGTTATTACTGATTATGATATTAAAATGCAACAGTTGAAAAAGATGGTATTTTGTAATATTTACCAATGCGTGTCAATGAAGAAACATTTCATTGTTACAGTAAATGTACATCGAGCGATCGTATAAACGATCGATGAAATCATTGATTTGTCATTAACGTTTGACGAATCGTACAATACGTCCATATAAAATAATATAAATATTATTCACAGGTATTTCACACAATTTCTTCATATCGATTTTACGAGGAATTTACGTTTTAATCTACTTTTGCTTAGCTAAAATATTTGTGGTGAGGGAAGTTCAATAGCTCGTAAGCTGATTTACATGAATCGTAGTGTATTTGAGGCTGAAAAATTCGATCACATCCATAGCGAAGTTGTATCACTTCAAATGACAAGAACAGTTAGAAAATGTCGATAACTCGATAATGTCAAGGTGTCAAAACCGTGTGCACGTAAACGCGAAAAACATTAAACAGTTTTTGCAGTTAGTCTTCGTTATCATAAAAGGAAACAATATCTTTGAATCTTATCTTTTATGACATTTACTTCTTCTAAAGCAAATCATATATGTTATTATTTATATTCAGTCAATTAAAATTTTGATTTCTTCATTTAATGTCAATAATTCATCTACATTAAATTAATCAAAATCATCTATACATTTTATCTATATATATTGCCGAGTTCAAAACAAGATCTTTAAAAGATCGACTTTAATTCAGATAAGGTTTATAACACAACAGATAATACTATATATGTATAAAAGGAGTTCATGAGAACTTACGATTAATACGAAATACGAGCATTTCTGCCGAAAATGTTCAAAAATCGGATGTTCAATACCTACATTCGATGATGGCTCATTAACGTCGTTAAAATATCATGAGAATACATTTTCGTTAACACAACGAGTAACGTTACGCGGTCCATGCGTAACCAGGTGATTCAATCGTCAAATTTCGCCCCTAATCGGAAACCGATCATTACGTTGCAACAACGATTCGAACTTTACGTAACTGTTCGCGACACGATGGCTCCCGAATAAGAAAAACACTTGAGATCGAACATTTGATGATGTATCCGTGACGTAGAGTTACGTCGCTTCAGAAAAAATTCGTTCTATTTTTACGAGCCAGATGGTAGCCGTCTACCAAGTTCATCTATACACAGACCGGCATGTGTAACGTAGAAAGTATAGAGTGGTAGCCGAAAAGTGGCGGACGTAAACGTTGTTGGAACGATCGTAAAATTCCCCGCCCCGCCCTTGACAACCCCCTGAAATATTCGGGTCCAATGCGTGAACATCGATTCCATGGAGCATTTTCGCGTGCAGGAAGATTCAAAGAACTACTGACCTTGAGCTTGTCGTAGGTTGTGTCGAGCTCGAGACGGTGCACAAAGGGGTTCAGGATGTCAGCGCTGAGGGACGCAGTATCCACGTCCTCGTGCTTGCTCCGCATTTTTCCATTCGCCTCATCCATATTCTTTTTTCCGAGTGGTCACGAACAGAAAAAGAGAGAGAGAGAGGCAGAGGATAGGAAGGAGACAGAGGATTGAAGAAAGATATATACGGAGGGATAGCAAGACAATAAACGCGGCTTAGTAACCTGACGTGTCACACACTGCAAGCCGCGAAACGTCGATATGTATCGGTAGGTACTTTCGCGAAAGCGAAACTTTCCGGCGATATGATTGAGCTTCTTTACACTGTTTGTAATGAGGTACGAGCCGAGACAGACAGGTAAAAAAAAAATGACGAAGAAAAAAGAAGGGAGCTCTTAATCAGCCGTGGCGAGACATGATCGTACGCGAAGGGGTTGTCGGTCGACGATCTACTGTGCTCGCGGTCGACTCGACGGAACGAACCGGCCAAATGCTCTCCGACTATTACCGAACCCCACCGAATGCATGGGGGATACTGTCGGATGCGTGCGCATCTTGCCGCCTAGTCGAAAGTTCCTTCGGGTATTTCCGTCAGACTGCCCCTGTGAAAGCGAAGTGACAGGAAGAAGCCGAGTCAGGGCCGCTATCTTCGTTCCTAGATGCCCTTCCCTTTTCTACGTTTAGGTTTCTGAAGAGCTTACTTCACTTAAGATAAGTTTACTTTTAAAAAATTATCATCTTTTTTTGAGGCGAATAATTTTATATTATTCTTTTTTATAAATTGGAATTAAAAAGTAAAAATTAGAAATGTAGTGAATTTATATGCTGCATCATTTAATTTTGAATATTTTGTATAAAACTGTATGATATTTAATGCTTTTTTGTACTGTATAGTACTCTATACTACTACGTGAATGAGAAATCTCATAATAAAACGTCACTTTATTAATCGTAAGACATTTAAAGGAATCAACAGGGCCGGCGTGACTTTTTGCGGGGCCGGGTTTAAAAATTTTGCGGGGCCTGAATACACATTCAAATCCTACACTTAAATTTTACAACGAGGAATTGTTTATTTACAAATGCTGTTACATATTATATATTTTTTATAAGCAGTTTTTTAAACAAATCCGAGTAATATTTTTTCACATCCATAATTCGCTTTCAAGGGGCAAAAAATTCAATGAAAGTACAAAATCTGCAATCATGTATGACTTTTGCAAAAGCTATTGATGTAGTTTAATTTCTCTAAAAGTACATAATGTATGACTTTTGCAAAACTATTGATGTAGTTTAATTTCTCTGAAAAGTACATTTCAAGTACAGGATATGAGGACTTTCTGGAGTTACACTGAACTTTGATGATTTTTGTCACTCCTCTAAACTGAATTATCACTACTAAGAAAATGTCTTGCACCTGTTAATGGTATTATCATTTTGTAAAAAGTTAATCAAAATTGGTATTTTTTAATTGAGTAATTTTCGTAAACCGGGGACAGAGTGGGAGAAGGTAGGACTCACTCTTGTAGGATTCTGCGCCGAAGGGGGCGCTGCGCCACATTGGTGGTCATAGGGGTCGACACGTCAAGAAGGTTCTGGGATCTCCTCGGACTTGCACAACGTCCCAGGGGATGGCGTTGAGAGGGCTGGTCCCTCCCAATGCCCGAATTAACTTAGAAACGACTCCTCTAGAATGGGAGAAGACGCAGGAGTGTTCCGGTAGTAGTTCGAAAGAGGTCCCGGGGCACCCTTGTAGGCCCTCAGGCGGACCACTATGAGATTTTAGTCAGTTCGACACTATTCCGCCGCTTCCTAGAAGAGCGGCGGGGTGTTCATGAAGATTTCCCCACGTATAAAGAAAGAAAAGGTTATGTTACGTACAGATAAATTAAAAAATGTAAGCGTATGTTAGTGTCAAAATTTTTAATCAAACGTTTCGTTTAAAAATGTTAGAAGTATAATCTAGGAAGGGAAATAATCATGATAGAGAATAAATTTTAATACTTGTTCCTTTGAATTAAATAGTATATTTTTGAAACAAATAGATAGCCGTGTTAAATTAAATATATAAAAAGTAATTAAATTAGGTAAGGGTCTAAAACTATTCGATGTTCATGGTTACGAGAAATTCACAGAATCAGGGAAGTAATTTTTGACGGAGTTAACGAGTGATTTCTGACCAATTCAGCTAGAAGAACTATTGGAAATTAACGTCTAATTAACTTACTTGGTATCTAGTACATGAAATATATGGACTATAATAGTTGCCCAATAAAAGTAGCATTTTATGAAAAATTCTGGAACCTAATGGCAGCTATAATATTTTCGATATTAAAAACGATCGTATATATTTTTATAATTTTGTCAATATTAATAAATTCTGCTTATAATGCTCTTATTTAGAATTAAAAAAATATTCTTTTAAATTTTATATGTAGGTAATTTAATTTTTAATAACGGTGTTAAGTAAATAATTTTTAAGTGTGTCAATTGTTAAAATTTGTAATTACTTCTTGTGAAATGAAAATTACTGCCACTAAGATACTGTAGTAAATCCAATTGTAAGAATGATCAATAAAAGAACAAAGACGAAGGAAACAGATACGCTTTAAAGTGCAGTTTATAAATCGGAAGTTTTTCCATAGCTTCGTTCTCAAGGTATCGAAACTTTAAACATTAATGATATAGAACGTTCTATAGAACGAGGAAGTTATATTCTCATAATCGTGTAAATAAAAAATTTTGTTCCAGTTCAAGGCACAATGATAAACCAATTTTTCAAAGACTACTAACTTATTCTAAACTAAACTAGATTTCAAACTAATCTATATTTCATAGATACATTTATTATTATCAATGTAGTTAAGTAAATTATACATAGGTAAATAAAAGATAAATATAATAAATTAATTCTGTATTTAAAAATATAATAAATTTTCTGTATTTATTTAACACTATTTTTATATTTTCTGTAATTTAATATCGATATTTTTGCATTTATATATGTATGTATATTTCAGATGCAATGGTTGTACTTCGCTCTATTCTAAACACAATTAAACGGAAGAAAGGTTCTTGTTTCTCTCTGTTTCATGTAAGCTGTGCTTCTGTATGAATGAATGAGTTCACACAAGAGATCAGTTTTACGAACTTTGTGAAAGAGATCTCAAATCGTCAATGACAGTATTATCAATGCCGCGATTAACCAGTAATCAAGTGTTTTTTATCTAAATAATTATAATGATAATGTAATATATTATATCTACAGAAATAATTCGATTCATAAAATGAAGCAAACAATTGCATTAATTGCATAACTTATCCGTTAATCGTTTTCTATAGTAATTTTCTTCACTAGAGAGTATTGATAGGTGCAACAACGTTTGCATATGAAGTAAGAAATTGTGTAAATCAGGACTTGTAGAAATATGATTACTTAAACAATATCTTTATATATCCAATTATTATTTAACATAATGATAGCAAATTTTGGATTGATTTCATCTATCTATGTTGCGAATTTTGTATTTATAACACATTGGATACATCAATACAAAATTTTCTTCGCGATGATAACATTAGTGTGAATCAGCGCTCTCTGTTTCTTTTACCAGAAGCTATTAGGACATGTCCAAAGTTGTTTAATAACCTATAGACGGCATGGCAAAGGAAGTACATAAATGTTTGATAAATTATTTCTCACAGTTAGAGAAAGTAGATTGCAAGTGGAATGAATTATCCGAGGAAGCTAAGCGACCTCTACACGCGTTGAGAAATCAATCAGAGCAACTCCGATTCGTCATAAGGTAACGTTAACTTTCTATTTTTTGTCACGAATTTTATCACTGCTTCAGACGTTATGCGCATACAGTAGCTAGAGTAGAAACTCAACACATAATTCCGAGCTACGTCGATATTTCAGAGAAGTAGAAACTTCATTGATCTACCATCAGATGTCGTTCTGTTACAGCAGCGAAGTTGATGATGCAGAACTCTGTAAAGTAGATGAGCTACGCGAAAGATTGATTTTTAAAATTCTTATGGGGATCGACAACGAACTGACATTGCTGTTCAACATTTTAACGCGATTCAATAACATTAATCAAGTAAATAAAATTTTCATCTCTACATTCATATCTTACTTGTTTGTTATACATATAACCTTAATTAATTCTTCTTCTCTTATTGATTACAAAGAATTAAAGGTAGTACATTATCATTTATATAAAAAGATTAATTTTCCCAGAAACTGTTACATAATATCGCATATAAAAATATGTAGAGATAATTATGTCAAAGTAAAAAATTAATTAATCGGTGATGTGATAGAATTATTGAAAATGTTACTTTAGGACTTAAAAAATCGTTTAAACAATCTGGAAGATGCACGAAGCAAGGTTTCGCTAGACGAGGGAACAATGAAGGAATTAATCAATGGGACACCTTATAGACCACGATTAAATTTGCTCTTAGAATGGGCTATTGAGGCTTTCAATTACTACCATGAATTGTATCTTTTAATTGGAAATATTTCTCAGATTTCAACGTTACTGTATCTATGTGTAGATTTTTCTTAATTTATAAGATCTTTAGATATCTTCTGATCAATGGAAATATGAAACAATTCAATTACAAAGATGAAGATACGATTGAAAATTTAACGAAGTCTTTTGTCGAAGACCGGTTTAAAAGGGCGCAGATCGAACGTAAGTGCCTGGCTTTAATTAGCATTTTAATTAATTAGCAATTTTGTCGTTAATTTGCATTATTTATTACAGGTATACTATATTTCACGCAATTCTTAATAAAAGAGTCTTTACGTTAGAAATTTTTTTTTATTGCGTATAACTACCACAAATCTTCATAAACAAATATTTTTAGAGCCTGCAATATTTTATATATAATTAGAATAAATAAAAATATCTCTATTTATATTATTTCTTCAATGACTTCATCTTCCTGAAATTCAAAAAGTTTCTGCGCACAGCAAACCATAAGTATACCGAGTGAATTCGTAAATATGTGTTTTTTATATTTGTATACTTCACAAAATCAATATATGAAAACTTAATTCATACAAAATAACGAAAACTAATTGCCTGCGGATTATGAAATCCATAGCGAAATAGGTATTACAAGTAGTATAACCTGTTATATAAGTTCACAGTCATAGACTGCACGGCGTGTTCTACTTGTCTGACTAAAAGCAAGTTTATCTACTGAAACGACGAATGTATGTATAAACTTCTTTTATCTGCAGGTGACAGCAATAAAAAGATACCACAACTTTTCTTGCGTGAACTAATGATTCACGATGTCTGATACGTTATTGAAGTGAAATTTCAATTAAAACTTCGCTAACTTTTTGTTCTGTTTACTATACCAATATGTATGTGAATTTAAATTCATTTGATAAAAAAGGAACTGACATGGAAGGTTTGATATTCCTTTTTGTATTAACAAACATTCTGACATGATACAAGCAAAATTTGATTGTTCCTTGTCCCAACTAGCAAATACAAAGCCGCTTCGCTGTCTATCGGAAGTAAAGCGTGCTGTTTAATCGAAATGAGCGTTAGCTTGAAACAATATTAACGATAATTTCATTACTGTCGCTGAGGTTTACCCTCTTCGCATTACTTATCCATAACACGAGCAACTGGTAATTGGAGAAAACAACCACTTAGCGAAACATAATTCCATCGCGAGATGAAGTAAAGTCCACAACAGAAAAAATAATAATTACGTAATTCATGACATTTTTCTGTTAGACATGTCACACTTGGACACTTTCTTCTACATACGTATATATAGAATAGTAGAATTCGTGTTACTTATTATCGATTCAGTTTTTGTAAAGGTCAAATGCTTTTATTTAATCTTTCACCGGAATTTCCAATGTAATTACTTACCCAGATAAAATCCTATGCATTCGATACACCTAATCTATAAAGTCTATTATGAACTACTCACCTGTCACGAACTTTTCCAACTTAATAAAATTATTATGCGTTTCTAAGTATTTGGAATCCTTTTTAAAAGTTTCTCTTTAAAAAATCCTCTTATTCGTTAATTTTTAACGAAGAATTACCTAAAAGTATGGAAGATAATGCATTAATTGCAAAATGCATTTATCAAAGTCACATATATACATGTCTATACGTGTGGAATTTCATAAGAAAGAATTCCATTTTTCCGTAATATTTCAAACTAAACGATTGTAATATCGTCCCGTGTCGTGTTACGTTTGCGTTTTAGCCCTTTGATCAACGACAAAGTCGCGATGACATTGATTATTCGCCACATTCCTACGATCGGTTTGCCGATCATCGACCAATCTCCTGACAAAAGGAGCTCACGCATATTCCGGTCTGTAGGACACGGACGCATTGGGGCGCCGGCGCCTGCTATTGATTCTGTTGAATATCGTGATTTCAAAAGTTACCATCGTAGTAGAGGGTGCCACAGTAGCTCACTGCTCCTCGAACCATAAGGAGGCCCTCGCGCTTTTCTTTATTTCACCCCAACAGGTTAGTGACGAGCTTGCAATGTTATTTTCTGACTAAATGGCACAATTTTTTTTGCTAATAATTTTGTATGAAGTCGGTATAGATCGTATTACGTTGTTGTTACGTGAGATTATTTTGTGAAAACAACAGGGTCGAATCGTATTTATTTCATTTCTTTCTCTCCGGATTTTTGAATGAAAGCACATCAAATTACGTTCGTATGAATAAGTTTCGTTGAATGAATACAGTTCGAAATATTTGGAAGAGATTTCTCAAAGCCGTTTTCAATTGGGAATATTACGTAGGACGAAAAATGTCACTTGACTAGTACGCTCATGACGTCAATGGGAACGATAGTTATAGTGCATGTCACTCGTGTAAAATTGCCGCCCAACACGTTATCGAAAATATTTTTAAAAAATGATTAGATTTCACTTGATTTTTATTAAACAAAAGCGAAGGAAATTGTATGAAAATTGTTCGTCTTAATGTCATTTTCTTTTCCGAGCAAATTTTTATTCATCAAATTAGCGCAAATCGTTCGGTTGGAAAACTGTAACGATATTCGATCGTTGATACATCACAATCGACATGGAAGTAAACATTTTCAACGGCAAGCGTTCTCGATGTAATCGTACTTGCAGAATATTTAGTGACTCGTAATTGACTGTCAAGTTTCCTTGTATACGAGGTCAGGGCCGTGATAAAGTCGCAAGGCAAACATCTGTCCCTCCTAACTAACTGTCCTATGGATGAAAAAAACGACGTGTGCCAGGTTCTTTGAGTAGAATTATTAAGACATTTTCTATCAAGTGCTTTTCTCACAGCGTAGAGAGCGTTCAAATTAGTAAACGGGGAAATCGCGTGCGATCCTTTACACATCACTTGCTCTCCCTTATCTATTGTTTACTTTAAATCCTCACGACTATATTATAATTTACATGTGATATCTATGTTACATAATCATATGAATTTGCTGAATATTGAGTAATTATTCTTGTTTATTATTTCAATTGTTGGAAAAAATAGACCTTTTTAAAAATGATTAATAAATCGATAAATATATAAAATCAATGAATATATTTAATGTTGAATGTTCTAAGCCATATTTTGTTTTTCAACAATTATTTTATTGAAAACTATGATCAACGAACGAGTGAAATAACTAGAGGTTCCAAATGTAACGTGTCGAGTTTATGGAGCGTGTTCTTACAAATGGGACTGTAAAAGGCTGTACTAGTCGTAGTCCTTGCTTGTACTTGTTAATACCATAAAACGGAACCGAGAACTGTGAACGCGTGTGGAACGAAGAGTAATTCAATAATTCTTTCTGAAACGAGCCTAATTTTAATTCCAGAAATGTATTCATTTCCTTCCTTTATGATTTTTTCATAATTAATGTAAAATAAGATGCTGTAATAGAACCTTTCCGACGAATAATATTGGCATTTTATTTCGTTAGCGCCGTTGAAACACAGGATATTGAATTTTATGGTATACAAAAATTTTTAAAGAACAAAAGAATTTAATATCTATTAGCTGTCAATTAATTATTAATTGAACTCAATATTAGCGTAATAAAATTAAAAACTACTAAATTAAATAGAAGCTGAATAATTATAGTTCGCATTTAAATTTATCTATGTACTAAAATTGAATATCTCAAACACGAATACTACGTTTAATTTTTTTAAATTTGCATTTATTAAGTGACTAAAATTTACTACGTTTGTATCTACAAATTCATTCATGTTTATGAATACGTAGTAAAAGTTATACTTTTCTGTTTTTCTCTCTCTTTTTCTTCCAACCTTCTATTGCTATTTAAATCTTCGAACCTTTACATCTTTCACACTTGCTGCTCTCTTTCCACGATTGCAGACATTCCTCCATAGGTATAATAGTAATTAATATTTATATGATTATAAAATACAATAGACATTTTAATTCCAACAGGATGGAGTCCATAGGCGCGCGTGGTATTTTTGTTTGATCTTTCGAAGAAAAGAAAATCGTGGTCGCAGAATAAACAGAAAGAATGGCGAACACGGCCCACCTCGTCCGGCGGCAAAGTTCGCGCGACTTGAAGCCCCAAAAAAGCGTCGACAAACTCGAAATGAAGGAAATGAGAGGAAGATTAGTGGTGGACAATAGAAAGACTAACACCACTGCCAATTACGGGGCCACGAACGCAGCCTTTGAGGACTCCAGTCCTAACACGAAGGTAATAATGTCAAGCAATAATAATTTGAAAAATATTATAAAAATAATAGGTCACGACAGAAGGAACAATTATAAAAAAAATAGAACTTGGAAGTTAAATAAGTAATATAAATTGCTTGTAAATTTAATTACTTGTATTTGTTAATTTATGACTAAAAAATGTTTGTTACGTGTGAATAAACGTACTGTAGAGAACATCTGTTATTAACTGAAATAAGTAATCTGGTTATTATTTGTGATTGCAGAACAACAAAACGGGGAATGAGGGCGGGGGTAGCAAGCTTGGAAGTAATGAAGGAAAACCGATTTTCCGACCAGAAGCGGGGGAAGATGAAAGAGAAAACTGGGATAGTAAGCTTACGTTTCTATTAGCAACCGTGGGGTACGCAGTAGGGCTTGGGAACGTATGGAGATTTCCATATCTCGCGCAAAAAAATGGTGGAGGTGCGTTGATTGTTTTATAATGAAAAAAAAACGTATTTTTAAAAATTGGTAGGGCTCTGGAATGATTAATGAGTTATTTTATTATAGAAATTCTAAATATTTAAAATTCACTGTTTTCTCTTTGTTCGAACCATCCAAAACAGGTGCATTCTTAATCCCTTACTTTGTCATGCTGGCCATCGAGGGTATCCCTATATTTTATCTGGAATTGGCAATTGGCCAGAGATTACGAAAGGGTGCTATCGGTGTATGGAATCAGGTGATTGTTGAAAAATGTATAACTTGCATCCGTCAAAATAAACTTACGCTTACGATACATCATACTCTCTAACAGGTTTCTCCATATATGGCTGGTATCGGCGTAAGCAGTGCTGTAGTATCCTTCAACGTAGCTCTGTATTACAATACTATTATCGCCTGGTGCCTCTTTTACTTCGTTCAAGCAAGTATTCATTCATTTTTAAATAGTTGCTCGCTAAAAAATTGCTATAATTCTTGATACTTCTATAACGGTTGCCAAAAATTCCCAATCAAAGCATAATTTTATTATATCGTTGGGATAGCATAAAACATTTGTAAAAAGAAGATTTTATTAATGCATAATTTAGACTAAAATAGAGTCACACTGTGGCCGAAAACTTCTGTCAGCTGTAGATATGTCAACTCGTATGCTAACTCTTTTAGTACTTATATCTAAATATAGCTAATAAATAAATTAACGAATAAATCATCTCCTCTCTAGAGTTTTCAATCACAGCTACCATGGGCAGAGTGTCCTAACGTATATTTCCAAAACGGATCATATGCGCCTGAACCAGAGTGTGTGGTACGATTGATCGAATTAATTAATGCCTCCGTGCTTAATCGGGATAATTGCGCTATAACCAGTGATTGCTTCTCAGGTTAGCAGTCCCACACAGTACTTCTGGTATCGAACGACATTGGCAATCTCCGAAGATATCAATACCCCAGAAATATTTAATTGGAAAATTGCTCTGGCATTGGTGATCGCTTGGATTCTCGTCTATATGTGCATGATCAAGGGAATCGCGTCTTCAGGGAAGGTATTCCTTTAAAGTATTCAATTTTTGACTGCATGATTTTATGTAATTAT